GAGACAGAGACAGAGACAGAGACGGAGACAGACAGACAGACAGGCAGGCAGACAGACAGACAGACAGACATTCATAATATTTCATAATCATACATACATACATACCTACATACCATACCATACCATACCATACCATACCATACCATACATACCATTCGTACAAACATACATACAAACACACATACAAACTTATATAACTAACCATACCTACATACATCCATACATACATACATACGTAATCCATACACCCATACGTCCATACATCCTTACATCCATACATCCATCCATCCAACCACCCATCCATCCATCCATCGATCCATCCATCCATCCATCCATCCATGCGTACGTACGTACGTACGTACATACATACATACATACATTACATACAATACATACAGACATACATACATACAGACATACTTACGTACTTACTTACTTAGTTGCTGACTTACTTACTTGCTTGCATACATACATACCTACATACATACATTCATACATACGTACATACATACATACATACACACATACATACTTACGTACTTACTTAGTTACTTAGTTACTTAGTTACTTAGTTACTTGCTTGCTTGCTTGCTTGCTCGCTCGCTTGCTTGCTTGCTTACATACATACATACATACATACATACATACAGAGGGACTCACACACACGTACACACACACACAGGTATACATATATATATATACACATCAATTTGATGTAGGGGTTGCCGGGGTCAACCCCTACAGCAGTGGGAGTGGACCTTTTTGCTTGATCACTGTGCGCATCCCCCAAGTCCAACCTAAATAGAAACACGACTCCTTAAACATCCGTCGAGCGTCGTCACCATCCATGTTGAGTCCGCCCATCCGAGGCCCACGTGTCGCCATGTCCTGATCGAGCCAGGTTCCACATTTCACATTTCTCCAAACATTCAACTTTATAAGTTTATGTAAAACCCCTTCAGCCAAATAAATCAAATACTCCATGTCCCCACCAATGTTGGACGAACATTTTCCTCCCGAACCTGTCGACCGAGGCCCCGGCGCTCCTGGGGGCCCAGGGGTCGCCACGGTCGCCGCGTCCACGCCTCGACCCGAGGCGATCGGGGGGACGGTTGGGGTGGTGGCCGGGATGTCATTCTTTGGGATGTATGTATATATATATATATGTGCGTGTGCAATAACTGAGCTATAGTCTTGTTATTTCTGAAATTTTTTTCTATTGTTCGCTGCTTTTCTTGAAATTTGCATTCGGTTCAAGACCTTGGCAGTGCCAAGCAGAGCTTTAATTTTTTCAATGCATCTTCACCAATTACTTAGACTTGGAAGGAAAAACGTTGGAGGGATCTCCATTCAGCTCTTGGCATCTCACTGGGCGGCACAAAGAGTCGCTTTCGTAGGGCAGGGCTGCCCAGGCAGTCGCAGGCCGCTCCTTTCTTGAGCATGGGGTTTTGCAGAAAATGCGCTTCGTGCCGCTTCGTTGAGGGCTGGGATTCGTAGGCAGGGCTGCTTGACTGTCAAGTCGGCCTTTGACTGGTTGATGACCTCCTCTACCTGAACTGTGTCCTGATTTTGGTGACCTATGGGAGGTCAACTAAAACTGAGAGAGTGTGGCCTTTTGAGTACGCCCACGCCCACGCCCACGCACACGCGGACACATTCTCGAGCAAGTCTCAACCTTTTTGTCAAAACTTGAATGTAACAAGACACATCTGGACGTAACTCATGCAGCACATGCACTGGAAACTGCTCCCAACGAATTCACGAGCGGCTCCACTGGAAGCCGCGTTGCCTTCGCCGCCGTTGGCCAGGGCTCGCTTGGCCTAGCCACGCCGACGTCAGGCGGGGTCCACCAAAGCGGGTCAGCGAAGCTACAGGAACTTGCTGGCTCCATGCATCTGTTTGAGGTGGTATTTCGCAAGTAAGCCGCATCCGCACCTATATGCAAGGCTTTGAAAGAAGAATCCATTTTTTTCAGCAGCTCCATCATTTTGCTTAATCTGTGCAGCTTATTCTAGCTTCAGATGGCCAGGGTTGCAGATGGTTCGATCATGTTCAAACATGTTCAGACCCTGTACAAAGGAGGGTTTCTCCGCACCGGTGGCAGAGAAAAACCCTAAATTGGGCAGATCTTGGGCTTGGGTGACCCATTCAGGCTCTTCTGCGAAGGGCGACATGAACAGATACATACAGATAGTGTCAAATCAAATGTCGACAAAGGCAAGTGTCAAATCAGATAGCTGCAGCTGAAACTCTCAGTGTGCCATGGTCCTTTTTCCAAGCTGGTGTCTTTCGAGCCTTCCCTTGCTGGCCACCGGGCGGTCAATTTGGTCAGTGGGCAAGCCACAAGGTAGCGTGGAGGTGCTCGAGGAGCTTCCCTTGCCAGAAGAATTCTTCAAGAAGTACATCCAAGACAAGGGTGGAGAGTTTGAGGGCTATGGAAAGCCCGTCTTGATGCCCAAGGCTGCCACAAGGATGCCAGCCTTCAGCAAGTGGTCCGATGCCTACCTCTTGGAGAACTATGGGGATACGCGCTTGGACCAAGTAGAGACTGAAAAGAAGGAAACCAGGACGAAATATCCTCATGAAGATTGGACCTTGAAGAAGTTCTTAAGCAAATACAACACGTCCGTTTTGTACTCCACAGCCACCACACCACCAAATTTGGGCCGCGAGGTGTACCTGCTTCCAGTGATGAACTGTGGTGGCTATTCACGAAAGTTGGCTGCCACAGTACTGTGGATGAGCAGCGGAGGCACCAAGTCCGTGATTCATCAAGATGGACAGGACAACATCCACTGTCAGTTTGATGGACAGAAGGATTGGATCCTGTGGGAGTCATCTGCGCCGATCCGGAAGACGGAGATGGGCTGGGTATGGGCTGAAAACGAAGCCGAACAGGATCCATCGTTCAAGGATGCGTATGGGCAATATGCCGGCAGGCTCGATGTTGACAATGTGGATGTCGAAGCGTATCCGGGATGGGAGAAACTCAGGTGGTGGAACATGACCATGAAAGCTGGGGACTGTGCATTTATTCCGAGGCACTGGTTTCACTTCGTCCAGTCACCTCCCATGCGAAGCATCAGTATCCACGTTTGGTTCCATGGGGAGAAATTTGACCCCAGAAGCTGCGAGGCTTTGACGGCCAAAGGCTTTGATCTCTCCAACTTCTTGCTCAGTATAGGGGACTGCACCTTCGGCTATGAGCATGGAAAGAAAGGCTCAGCTACCAAGTGCAAGATGTCGAAGAAGAAAGCTGTAGCTTCAGAGCTGTAGCCCCTGAAGTGAAAAAGGGACGTGGACGAAGGCGAGCGAAAAGGACCCCCATACCCATCCATACCCTGCCACCTGTGTTTCAGTATGTTTTGGTCATGGCTGTATGGCAAACACAAACATAGACGTTTCAGAATCGAGAGGCCTCACATTTGGTCCGAGTTCATCTCCCGATTCCCACACTTTGAAGACTGTGTCACACCTCCGGCAATTCACGCTCCAAAAGTACCCTGCAAAAAACACCATGAAAACACCATGAAAACATCACCATTTCTAGGCCAACATTCGACCTTGGAAAACTTCGACCGCCCGAAACGCGTGTGGACCCACTTCCACAGGTCTGGACTCGTTGCGTGGAGAACGGTGAAGCTGAACAAGTCCGGTGGGCGCATGGCGCCGGAATCACGAAAGCCGCGACAGAAAATCCGAAGTGATGGATGATCCAAACGGATTGTGCCAAGGATATCAGGGATTTATATAGTACAATGATGTACAATGAGCGCGGTGGTGTGTTTGCTGAAATCTGATTTTCTGGTCAACAATTGCTTGCACAATTCATGGAAAACGGGGTCCCACGCGCCTGTAATTCACAGGAACGGTGCCCGTGTGTCATTAGCTGGAGTTGCATTGCCGTGCACGGCTGCGCTCTAAAGAATGCTGAACGACTTTGATTGCTCCGACGTTGGACGTTGGCGGCTTTGCCGGGTGCGGAGCAGGTACGGGAGTCGGAGTGGATCGTTTTCATCCGAAAACCCTTCGCCAAAGGAACATCACAAAAGAATGAGAAGATCAATGTAAATCATGTGAACTCCTCCAGGGGGGTTTCACATTGTTTCACGAGTGGCCACATTATGCCACATTGAGGTTTTGGAGAGTGGAATCCTTCTGCACTATTACAGCAACATCTGGAGTAAAAGAATTGTACTCCTCATGTCGTTCCTGCAGCACTGATCTGCTGATGGTGGCTGGATCCTCAGGGTGTGGAGACACTACGGTGTAGAGACAGAATGGTCCAAAAATGGGTGGCCAATCCTAACGATTCTTTGTGGGTAAGCCGTCAGATTAACCACCACTCGGGATTTTCAGTCAAGAGTCAAAAGAGTCTTGACATGTTGCATTTCTTTATAGCTTTAATGTGACGACGTCTTCCACATCCGTTGAGTGTGATCATTCGGAACCGCTCCAGGCCACAAACATCAAAGTCTTCTTCAGGGTGCGTCCCAGTGCGCGCCCATCGAAGGTCGGGGGCGGGCACAGGTTGGGGGCACACCGACCAGAAAGGGCGTGAATCCAAAGGAGGAAGTCCTGAGTGCAAAACGGAGTGCGTTCATGTGCTTTGTTGTGCCTTTTGATGCGTTTTGGGATGGGAATGATGAGAGGGAGTGCTCGAGATTACCTCGACGTTGGTGATGATAGTGGTATGAATAACATTGAGTAACTATATATATTACTTGTAAATACTATGGATTATGGATGCTTTTCCGCTGGGAGCTGGCGAAGAATGCCCCCCATCTCCATTGAGAGCCGATTGGTGTTGACAGTGGATCAAAGGACTGGATCGGCTCTGTGTTCTCAAGCTGCAATGTTTGAAGGCCCTGTCAATCAAGCAAGACGAAGGGTCAAAGCCTCAAGCTTGAGTTCGTTGGCGTGGCAGCATGAAATACCGGAGAATCCTCAGCACTTCCTTTCGGCAAAGCGACCATACCTGAAGATCCTATTCACTGCGGCAATTAAGAAGTCTTTTTGTAGATCTTCCTTTTTTTTCCTGCAAGCATCCCAAGCTTGAAGTGGCTGCACAGTGTTTTTACGTTTTTCACTTGACCGGTCCGACCTGGGATGCAAGGCTCATTGAGTTCAGCCAGGAGAAGGCCACGCCTGACACTCGACGCCAAGAAGTGAACACCTGCGAGCACAGAGAGAGGCAAGTGGAGACAGGTCGAGGTCGAGGTCGACAGGTCGAGGTTTGATTTCGAGAGACGCGTGTCCTTTTGGTTCTTCATGCAGTTCGCAACAGAGAGAAGCTTGTGCGCTGGTCCAAGGATGGGGAGGTGAATAACACCAAGACGCACTACAAGTTTCGGTTTGATGGCATCCTTCCCATGAAGATTTCCCAGGTGCTTGGAATGTCCATTATATAGTTATCCGAAGATGATTATATAACCCATTCAAGCACTCACAGATGACAAACTCACAAAGTCTCTCTTTGGCATTCTTTGGCCAAGCCTCTCTCGGAAACAAACACATCAGATGAGCCCGAAAACATCCGAAAAGACTTCATCTCCGCGAAAAGGAGGAGGTCTTCAACCTCGTGGCCCGCCCCGTCATCGAAGATGCCTGGGCCCAGTGTCGCGGAATGGGGCTTCCACACACCGAGGTTTTGGGCAGAGGCGGCACCAAACACGGGATTCAAAGGCCAGGATTCCATCATGTTCCAGGTAGTTTCTCAGACGTTGCCAGTTTTCAGATGTCTGGCACTTCAGATGACTCGACAGCACAGACGCTGATGTCGTGCCTTGTTTCGGCAAAACCCGACGTGCCATTCTCTTTCCAATTCGTTCTTTCCATTTCGTTTTGCCATGGTTCTTCTGATCGAGGTGATGCAGGGAATCAATGGGACGATCTTCGCCTATGGTTCGGCACCCGGCCCGCCGTCTGTCGGAAGAAGGACCACACCGCCCATCGGAAGGACTCCCCCCCAACTCAATCCGCTTGAGTAAAGAAGGATGCTTGCAGAGAACAGGGGCTCCATCCGCTGTTCTGGAAGCGAGTTTGCGTTCGAAAGCGGTTGAGAAAACGGAGCGGAGAGTGACCAACCCACTGCCATCCACTGCCCATGTGGTGTGGATGAGTGGGAAGCTGAGGTCAGACGGGCAGCGGGAAGACCTTCACAATAACAGGAGGCCCGCCTGTGGATGAAGAGGGGGTTCAAATTTGAGGGCTTTTGGTGGAAAGGTTGCAACTTGGAAGAGCATGCTCTTTGGCGGATACTGTAGGCTTGAAGGTGTTCAATGCCTTTCAATGGATGTATGATGGATACTAGGAGATTACTAGGAGTTGTTTTCAACATTTGTCGTTAGTTACGTTCTTAATACGCTATAGAGAGTCTCATCACTGTGATTTTGACTTGCCCTTGGAAAACGATACGAGAAGTCCAAAACAGGAATACCCGTATAATAATTAACCCTGCAAAACGGCACCAGCGTGAACACATGCATTGCGACAATGAATATCAGCAAAGCTGCTTTTTGTGAAGTGCAGGGACTGGAGACTTAGTGATGACCTGCTGCAGTTGGCTGCAGATCGGTGCCGAGGAGGATCATGTTGTTATGGTATGACGCGGTATGCCAGAATCATCATCCAGACCAGCCCAGGAAATCATCAGAACCAAGCGATTACAAGACTTGCTGCTTGCTGTTGTTTATCGAGCCGCCATGGGCCGTGCCAAGAGGCATGGAGGGCCGGAGGAGGCAGAGGCGGTGCCCCCACCACCTCCTGCTAGCCCACCAGCGCCTGACGCAAATCTGGCGGGACTCTTTGCAAACAACCCTTTGCTGGGGGGCAATCAGTATCTCAGTTGTCCAAACTGCCTTTCAACTTTGAACTGATTTGAACTGCTTCATGTTCTTTTGGCTTTTTCTTTTGAAACGTTTCTGCACCAAATAAATCTGAAACCTTTTCCAGATGGCATGGTGGTTTGGACCGAGGTTTGCAAATCCTTTGCTGGGCGCCAATCCCTTGATCCTGGCCACACTCGCAAATCCTGCCCAACCATCTGCAGCCATGCAACCGGGTGCCGCTGCTGCAGAGCCCGAGGACAGCAACATGATTGACCCGGATGTGCAAGAGTTGTGTGATTACTTCCACATCGAGGAACGGCATGCCCGGCGGCTGAATGACATCATGAAGAACAGGGAAGACACCTTTGTGGCAGATATGGAGCGGCTCTATGATGTCCTAGAGCGGGCCAACAGTCCAGCTGGTCTGCTGGTGGTGAAGATGCGGGAGATGGAAGAGGGAACCTTTGTGGGCAAGGTCAAAGCAGACAAAGACTTAGCAGCCGTTTCAAAGAAGTATAAGCTTGACGAACAGGCGGAATCCAAGCTGGCAGACATCCTGGCCAGGTATGACGATGCTCGTAGGAAGGAGTACCTCATTGAGATCGAACGGCACCTAGAGGTCTCCAATCGGCCCTCTGCCATGGCCATGTTGTTGCTGAGGAAGTTGGGTGAGGGTCAGTCTCTTGGCAAGCCCGGTCCAGCAGCCCCAGGGAGCTACCTCGACAACGCGCAGCGCGCGGCGCGGGGCGAGCCCACGCGCAGCGGCCGCGAGCGCAACGACGGCCGCACCGACGGCCGCGCGGAGCGCAAGAGCCCGCGTCGCGACAAGGAGCGGCGACGCTCCCGGTCGCGCGACCGGCGGCGGTCGCGGTCGCGGGATCGGCGCTCACGGTCGCGGAGGAGATGAGGGGCCAGGGTTGGGAGGGAGCCAAGGGCTCGGGTCTTAATGACCTTTCGCAGAAAAGAGCTGCCTCCAGAATCCTTCAAATTGCTTCTTGCACTGATCATAGTCTGCGATTGGTTTGCACCTAGTGTCACAGCCAAGTTCTTGGACACGCTTGGTGGTTGATTTGGTGCCAGGTGCAGAGAGGTATGAAGATCGAGGGCTCATCCCCCGAACTATTTCGTACCTTTTCGAGGCCGGAGCTTTAGCTTGGGGGACATGGGCTTATGTCACCTCTCGGGAGTTTGTTGCACTGGATGTCACAGACATTCCATTTGTGTTTCAACTTCAACTTGGATTTCAGGACACATCAAGTACGTGTATTTGCACATTGAAAGTAAAACTGGCTATGTACTGTAGATTCATATATATATATATACACCTATCATATATATATATATATTGATTATCGACTGTTTTTATATAGGAGAGGAATCTGTTTTTTTCCGCATCAGCTGGCGGGGAATGAAGTGAAACATTCCAAGGAGTTCAAGAAGCGAACGGATGCGACCTACCGTTGGAGACCCAGATGATCTGGCCACCGTGGCCACCCCTTGGGGCCACCCCTTGGGGCGTGTCGAAGTCTTGGGGTCGGTTCCATGTGTGGTTGTTTTGCATGCGGGCCACCCAGGCATGTTCATCTCCTACCTGGAGATCTATAACAACGATGGACCGGCTTTCTCAGCTGATAGTGGGTGGGATTGGCGCGGCGCGGGAGTAAACAATGGCCTGGACAGATCCATCATACATACCTTTCTGGATCTTCACCCCTGCGGTCCCTTCGCTAGTGGATCATGAGCAAGCATCCCCTTCCGACCATCCATTTTTCAACTTTATCCATTCTTCTTCTTCCACCACCATGCTTTCCGGCATTGCGTGAGGTTATGACCTCCTCAGTCGAGCAGAGACCGCATCCAAGCTGGAGGACGTACCGAGCGCCCCGAGATGCTCAGGTGTCGGACGGAACTAGACACTTGTCGTTTTGGCGGATTGCATACCACTTGCATATGCATGCATATACAATTCATTGATTCAATGGTATATACATTCACCATCATACACCCAGGAGAGGCAAAGACTGTAAATTACTGTAAATCCTGATAATATAGCACCGATGGACAAATTTGTTTCCTTTGCATTTGCAGCACCAGGAGACGCAAGTTTGAAAGTTCAACAAACAGACAGCAATGACATGAGCTGAACGAGTCACACGCTGATGCTAGCTGGTCAGCAATGTCAGCTTGATGTTAGCTAAGAAGATGAAAAGCACCTTTGCCCGTGACCAACACACATCATTATCAACACGTTTCTTCTTCTCGTCGACGCCTCATGACCTCATGGGCTGTGGCGCTTCGAGCAAGGCGAGTTCGGTCCGGTTCACCCGGTTCACCCGGGCGGCGGCACAAACGTCAACGGCACCGTGGCGGTGACCGGCGGGTTCGACGGAGACTCGGGTGGGTTCGTCTGCGGTCCCACAGGTCTTACCTGCGCTGGGCGATGCGGACCTCTGTGGGTTGACGCAGGAGATGGGTCACCCGGGGGGGGTGGTTGAGACAAGAAGAAAGGCCTCAACCACCACGGGGCTTCCTGAGCGTCTTTAGACGGATTTGGGCGAAGCTTCTGGGATCGGGTGTCACAGGGGTGCCACTGGGGTACGGACTTGGTGGACTTAGGTAACACTTGCACCTCGAGTTTCCAAAGGCGAAGGGATAAGATGAGAAGAACTCGAACACGACATGGTGTGCCCCAAATGGTACGGCTGGGCCGCCCATCATGTCAGAGCCATTGTGAAATGCATTCGAGTTGTGACATGTTGTGACAGTGCAGCCGCTGGCACTTCTGGAGATGGAGTCTTGACTCCCAACTGTCGAGGACCAAGTGACTGCGGCTGCTTGGCAGGTGAACTAACTGGTGAGCTCTTTGGATCCGTGGGTTTTTTCCTTCATCTAAAGGAACGGTATGACTGCAGCGCGACCATGGTCGTTTACTATCGTTTGCTTAACTATTCAACGACCGTTTCGAATCTGTACGTTCCTTTTGAACACTGGCGTGCCATTGAATGGCTGCAATTCAGGTCTATGCTTCACCCAATACACCAAGAAGAGCCCTGGCGAAAGGGGACGGCTGGGACCGCCATGTCGATACGATCGTCTGTTGCGACGTCCCCACCCACGAATCAGCCACAACATCTGAGGTGTGAAGGACCAAATCATCGCAACACGTACTGATGTCCTGGAAGAGACCGAATGTGACTTCGCTGCTGCCGGGGAGAAGTTGATGAAAGCACTCGAGACACTGGGCCGCGACTTCAGCGCAGGTTGGCCGGAATGTGGCTGTTCACCGAGATCCCCCAAAATCCGAGAACACTCACCAAAATGATTAGGGAAGTGGAAAACCACCTGGTTGGTCTTCGGAAGATGGTCATTGAAGGGGCCATGAGTCATCTTTCATGATATCCACTTCCATGATTGTTCCCTAGAATGTGCTTGCTTTGATGGTGCCAGCGCACGTGAAAGGCCTGGGTTCTGAAGACGGGAGTGGGTGCCATTTGGCCACCTTTGAGCATTCGCTTCGTGTCATGTGCCCGATTAGCCAGATTTGCCCTTGACTAGGTAAAGAAAGATAGCCATCCTTCGAGAATGCTGAAGAGTGCTCAAGTCCTGCCCAAACCACATGCAGAGGAGGAAAATGGAGTGGTTGAAACAGCTCTGCTGATGAGGTACAGAGAGAGATAGAGAGAGAGAGAGAGGGAGATAGGGAGGGAAAGAGAGAGAGAGAGAGAGAAAAACAAAAGAGAAAAAGAGAAAACGCGAGAGAGAGGGAGATAAGGAGGGAAAGAGAGAGAGAGAGAGAGAGGAGAGAGAGAGAGAGGACCCCTTTTAAAAGGAGATGTCTTCAGACCCATTGGGTAGGGTGCACCTTTTCCACGCATCGACAAACTTCCACTCGGGCCGTGGGCTTGGGCTTGACCACCCAGACAAATCCGTCAGGAACGAGGGGGAGAAGGTCTCCTATAGACCTTGCAATGTGGTGTGGAGCCATCCAAGCTCAGGTCGGGATGCAGCACTGCAATTTTGTTGAAACCAGCAAGACAGCAATTGAATGCAATCGATATACCTATACCATCCTCGATCATATACATATACGCACATATGCATATGTATACCGCATACACTTCAACACATATCATCACAATTGATCAGATTTTTCTTTCTACTTTTGAAGCTGACCTTGCTTACCCAACGGTGCCTCGTTCATGCCACACCGGGCATCATCTCATCCCCCAGCCGTCTTGTGTACGCAGGTCTGTCTCCGTCTAATTGGCACTGCCTCCCTCAGGTCTTGGATATGGGACGCCCCCAAAAACGACTGCTACCTTTCTTGGTTGGATGGAGTCCCGTGGTTCCCTCCCCGCATGAGCTTGTACATTCCAAATGAATGCTTACTCACCTGCTAAATATCCCCGTCATTCCCTGCCTAGGTTCCAAGACATCTCATTCTGTAAGTCATCACATTATCTAACCCGGTTACCAGCCAGCCGCTACCTTTCACATCTCATCATTTCATCATGCTTTATGTAACCTGGCCATGTTTGATGCTTCTTGGACATGTGACCAAACTACATTTGGACGACTTCCAGCCTGGTGCCCTGGAACAGTCATGAAGGGTCTCATCAAGGCCCTGTCCAGCTCCTTCTTTCGAGAGGAGAACCGCGTGTTTCACAGTTTCCAAACTTTTTTACAATCGCAGCGAACCCGATGCACAGGCGGGCAGCTCTTGATTGCCAATGAGCACTCCGCAACGTCCAAAGACGTGTTGGTGGAGCACAAGGTTTGTTTTATCGTGACACGGATTGCAACTGAGGAGTCCAGAAGGACCAGCTTGAGGTGGGCGTTTTCGCTCTGGATGCAAGTTTCTGGCACACAGAGTTGGTAGGTTCGCGAAGAAACGAGCTGAGCATAGCTGAGCTCTTTTTTTTTCGCACATGTTCGCATTCACCAGAAATTGCTCGGCGCTGTTGATGCCAAGGTAAACTGCCTCGACTTTTTTGGAACGACTGCACCCTTCCATGACGACCCTCGGCCTTAGCACGAACGATGCACCTCCATGACACCTGTGGCGGCCAAATGCCAAGCTTTGGTTCGGTTTGAGGATCACCAAACGCGAAGAATTTCACGACCTCCGTTCTTTCGCATGGCCTGTCGTGGAGAGATCGAATTCTGCGCACATTGAGGTCGCAATCTACGTAGCTTTCATGAGGTCGGCCGGTGGGAAAAGTGGACTCTTGAAAGGCTCAAGCTTTAGCCGACTGCCAGACTACTGTAGGCAAATGACAGAATCCCACTTTTGTCTTTTTGATGGCCTTGTTGTCGCAATGACCTTTGTCTTGATGCATCGTGTCTTCCCAGAACACTCAGTATGAAGAGGCCTCTCTCCTACTGTCATGGCCAGCCCCACTTGCAGTCCAACTCCAACAGTTGGCTGGAACTGCCCAAAAAGAAGAGAGCTGCAGCTGCTTGCCGCAGTTTGTAGGGATGGTTTGCAAGCAGGATTTTCTGAGATCAATTCTGCAGATCAGGCAGCTCATGACTGATGAGCTTGAGACATTTTGTGCAGCAGTGAGGGGTGGGGGCACAGCCCCAGGACTTCCAAGTGTGCGATTGGTGGAGATGTTGGGAAACCTCTGCAGCTATTTCCAGGGAAGCGGCCTGGATCACATTGATTGCACAGCTGCGCTGGTTGCTGATTCAGGGATCCTCACATCTACAGCCTCCGCAGTGCTCACGTCACTCTCTTGAAGGAAGGTACCTTTTTGGTATGGAGCTTTTCCAAGAAAGACCCTCAACAGACTCCAGTGGAGTATAGTGGAGTATACCGTATACCCTCTCCTGGCTTGGGAGGACCGGGGCAGCGCTGTAAACTACACTGGAATGGAGTGCCAGCTCTGATGTCAAGGACGGTGC